ATACAATAAATTTTTATATATATATATATAATTTATATAAAATAATTAAATAGCGAGAGAATAATTCATATAAAATATTAATATATCAATATATAATATATAAATAATATATATTTTTATTCGCGATAATTAAAATTAATGAGAGTATTTAACATAAAATTCCTATATAAAACTAAAAGATATTCTCTAGATAATCAAAACGTAAAAAATTATTCTGAAAATCAGTGATAAAGGTAAAAGAAGATTCTTCGAAAATTCCTGTCTATCAATCGTCTAGACTCGATTAGGAAACGGCTGGATGATGTATATTATGTACTGGATATATGTACTTGTGGGGTGGTTCTAACAACATCATAAGCTTGCCCGATGAATTCATAGTCCTTTTGGCAAGGTGGCGCCCGTTTGCGACTACTCCTACTAAATCGCGAATTAGTAGGCACAGCGAAGGTGGTGTATGACGTTCTAGCGCGAGTGAGGGTGAAAGAGGGTGAGAGAGAGGGTGAGAGAGGATGAGGGTGAGGGTGAGAGAGGGTTGGGAGGTCGGTCCAGGAGGACCCGACAGAGGTAGAGGTGGTTCGTCGCGGTCATCAGAGGGGTCGGAAACGTCGGAGTGCGCGCCAGTCGAAGCCGAGACTTCGCTCGTGCAGCTTCTCTTCCTTTTCTCTTAGCACACGATTCACATTATTTCCTTACTCTTATCATTAGATTCATATTATTTTTCTTTATTCGTCCGTTTCGAAAAGAAAATAAAAAGGAAGAAGGAAAGAAGGAAGGAAAGAAAGGAAGGAAGGAAGGGACTGATCAACGTCAACAATTCGTCAACTTTTTTCTTAATATTTTTTCCTCACTTTTCCTTTTGTTTTCATTCTTATTTCCTTTTTATTTCGAATGTATTAGTTGATACAAAGTTACAACGATATAAAGTTTAAGGGAAAAAAATCTCTTAAACCCGATCACGGTTCTGCCACGTGGTGAGAGGACGCGTGGGCTTCAAGGATTTACGCGAATATTATTCGAAGAATTTGTACTGTATTAAATATCTAAAGAAAACATAAAAATAAAAAAGGGATAAAGATAATCAACGATATTAGGAATAGAAGAGACATTTGGATTGATTTATATATATATCAAGATTTTAGATTAACAAAGGAAACAAGATCTTTTCATGTAGAACCTTCGGACGTGGATCGCAATGATGAACCGTCGACGATCTATCTTGTTTCTCTTGCAGATGCTGTTTTCAGCAGGTGAGTGTCTATTGTATCTTTAGATCGTTTACAATTTATTTCATTCTATCGATTACGTTTTTTTAATTAACGTGCATGGGACGGAAATAAAAGTGTCTTCTTTTTCTTTTTCGTTTCGAACATTCGAAGAACGCGCGCTTTTCTAGTTGGTAGCATGATCAAACAATATGTGTGTTTCGGTTTGGAAAACAAACTTCGAGTTTTGTCTTGTATGTAAATGATTTTTAAATTTAGTTCTTTTTTTTTTTTTTATTATTGAACAACTAATATTAATAACTTTAGTTACGAGCCTGAAGTTTTAAATTCGACGATAATTTATAATGATTTTATATAATATAAGATAAACGATTATAATATGTTGTTCGATAAATTGTTCTTCTCTTCGTTATATTCTAACTTTTCTGTCAACGTAAATTAGATTTTTATGCTAAATGAATAGTTATGGAAATCGCGCGTTAATGTTTTCCATGTCAAATGGAATTTAGTTGATATAATATTTGGTCTGTTGGTTGGTACGATAAAAGGAGAAAAAAGAGGAAAGAAAGAGAGAGAGAGAGAGAGAGAGAGAGAGAGAGAGAGAGAGAAAGAGTAAGAGAAATACGCATTCGGAAAAAGGGATAAAAAGGGAAAAATAAATAGTAGTAAAAAATATAACAAACAGCAATCCACTTTTTTAGCTATCAATCATCCTCGCGATGTTTGGATGGATAGGAAAAAGGTAGAAGGAGGGTTTTAGTGAGAGAAGGGTTGAAGCTTGATACAGGCTAACGTTGATAGAAAATTCACCGATGGAAATTCGAATGAGGAATGAAATGGGGATACGTATCGAATAAGTTATAGGAAAAACCAGATTTACCAAAAGTCGAAAGAATTTTTTCTATTAAATTAAATCACGCGAGAGAGATGGTAACAAATTGTTCAAAATTGTTTAAAGTAATCAAAAAATTATTTTAGGATCGAAGGGATGATATCTTACATTGAAATTATTCAAAGTGGAAATGATCGAAGAGAATTTCTATTTAAGCCATGGTGTAACGTAGAAATAAATATTTCTATTTATCTGTTTTTTTCTTTCTTTTCTTTTCTTTTCTTTTTTGTCATATTTTCAAATTTATTGGCTAGAATAAAAACGATATTAATTAAGCAGCGTCATACATGATCGTACGATTTTGAACGTAAAGCGTCATTCGATATGTATCTCGGGTAGCAATAAAATACACGCGTTGCAAATATTTACATAGGAAGATATCACCACCACTACCACCATCACCACCATCACCACCATCACCAACACACCCCTCGTCTATCAATTAACGCGCGATACGTTATGCTTCGTTATATTACACTTTTTTTTCTTTCCCTAAATCGATTGAAAGTATTTTTTTATATTATTTCTTTTTTTCGCGAGCAAAATGTCATAATCGCGCGACTTTTCCTCCCCTTTCTATCTTTTCCCTACGCGTTTTTAATATTAATCAGACATCTTTATTTCCACTTGATTTAAACATAACCTCAAACTCGAGTAGGCAACACTTCAAACGGAAGTTTAGATTAGTCTCCTATTAATATAGAGACAGATACTAATACTCATTTTTTCCTGTTTTTCTTTTTCTTTCATCCCCATTCTTTTTAACCCCTTCGATACGAGCGTCGGATATATCCGGCATCTATATGATATGACCCCAGAGTGTGTTGTAAGAACGACGGATATTGTTTAACATTGTGTTTTATTAAACATTATTCTTATTCAACGCTTAGAAAAATGTTCATAATAATAATAATACTTATCTATCGTTGTGGAATAAGAGAGGTTAAATTTAAATGAAAAATATCTGTAATGTTTTTTTTTCTTTTCTTTTTTCTGAAAGTTTCGTCAAAGGGAGACCCTCTCGGAAGATTTCTTTGCCAATTTGATCCGCATTATTGTACAGGACAGAGAAGACACAGTAACGTTGTTTAAATCGTCATTATTTGAAATAATCCGTGAGCGCAGACGCGCGCGCGCGCACGCGCGTGTGCCCCACATTTCGGAAGTTCCATTCGCGTCCCCGTTTTCTGTATAATAATTTCCAAAGCTATGATTTTCTAATAAACCTCATCCCCACCTTCACCTCCCCTCCCCACCCTCCACTGTATGTTGCGTCAGATTTGCAAGTCTATATTTTTCCCTTTTATTTTCTAGTTTAAATCTTCACATAAGCGGTTTATGCATTTTAAATCGTGGTTCATTTGCGAGGTTTGAAAGTATTTCGTTAGACGTCGATGTAACGTTAAAAATAAAACAAAAAAAAGAGAAATTAAAAAAGAAAAAAGAGAAACATAGAAGACTTTGATCAAAAAGTTATTCTTTATTTCTTCTTTTTGAAAGGATAATCGTTGTTCGCGAACGTCAATCAGTAAATTAATCGGTCAATTTTTGTTAGGAAAAGAAAAAAAAGAAACTACGAAGAAAATTTCATCAACAGTATTTCCGTTTATCCCTAAGGTAATTATTTCTTTCACTGGTGGAACGATGGTGGAAGCTTTGAATTTCATGAAATCGTTATTCTCCCGTCCGGACGTATTTCTGGATCGATACTTGTCTATGATAACGTCTCTTTCTCTTTCTCTTTCTCTTCGATGTTACTTTTTGTCTCTTCTCGTCGAACGATTAATTTCAAGGAGCCACGCCGACTGAATTTTAATCGATATATACTATATATATATATATATATATATAGAGAGAGAGAGAGAGAGAGAGAGAATGGTAAAGCACCCCCTTCACGATTTAGCACGACCCTAACGAATTCGTTTCGCGTTTTCGTCTATTCGCGAGATCTTTCTATTCAAGTATTCTCAGCTTTATTAAACCACGTGCTTTTTCGTCGAATCGTACGCGAACTACGGTCTTAAAATAAATACACGGAAAGAAAGAAAGAAATAAGGAAAGAAGGAAAGACAGATAATTCTCGAAGGAAGAAGGAAAGGACCATCAGTTTCCATTCCTACCAATGGTTTGGACTTCTGTCTCTTGCATGAATGCATGAAACAATCGTATATCTCATGCAATTAGCCGGAGCAAATCTTTTTGTATTTTTTCTCTTTTGTCTTTCTTCCTCTCCTAGGTTTTTCTCTCTCTCTCTCTCTCTCTCTCTCTCTCTCTTTCTTTCTTTCTTTCTCTCTCTATGTACGTATATGTATATCCTTATCTCTTCTTTCTCTTCTTTCTCACTTTTATGAACCAACGAACGAACGAACGAACGAATGAACGAATCAACGAACTCTCGCGAAAAGTTCATTCTAATCAGAGTGCATTTGTAATTTCCACGGTCATTCGTCGTCGTCGATGCAAATTGGATTTTAAAGATCGCGGGCTGGTGGACAGGTCGCTGCCGATTGGTCGGTCCCCGTCAGCGGATAAAATCACGTCCGTTGTTCTTTTCCCCCACTCCTTATTCTTTTACCCCCACTCCGTACTCTATTTACCCCCACTCCGTATTCCGAAGTCCGCACTGCCATTTTACTTTTTGTTTCTACTTTGCTATTCCGTTCCGATTTTAAATACAGAAAGAACTTGGCGAATACTACGAGCTGCCGGTTTATCGCATATTACCATCCGCCTCGGCTTTTACGACTATCATAAAGTTTCCAAAGCAGCACAAACAAGCTCTCCGTGGTTGGTATCCTAAAAATGTATACATATTTTTACAGTAACTCGCCTTAAAGCTTACATACATACGTATATATACATACATATATATATCTCTTTACGAGTACCACCATCATTTATATCGTAAAAAGACGAAATTATATATGCCCGTTTGGTTTAGTTAATCTTAATAAGAATATCCGTGATAATTTTGATTTTTAATTCAATCACTAATGAAGTTTTTCTTATCCCCCTTCCCTCTCTCTCTACCCTCAAATACATATTTTTTTTACGTTTAATCCTTTCCTATCTTTCCCCTTTTTTCAAGTGAAATTTATTTTTCTCTTTTTCTTTTTTTTTTTTTTTTTTTAATCAAATTAGCGCAACTTTTTGTACAATAAAAAAATTTCCACACAGTTAATTTAAATTAAAATATTAAAATTGGTACTTGCCTCTCGTATCATATTGCGAACGTAATAATCGCGTGTATTTTAGTTTTGCTAAATGTGAGATATGAATTAAGATCGAATAATATATATTTTGAAATATATTATATTACTCACATGTATGTGTGTGTGTGAGGGAATTATTTTTGTTAGCTTCAGTAAAATATTTGTGTGTGATTGATTTAACAAATATTTTTCTTGAACGACGAAACAGTAACAAATGGTAACGTTTTCCTCTTTTCCTTTTCTTTTTTATCTTGATCGTTTGTTTAAAATATAAAAGGAGAACGTGAGAAAGAAAGAGAGAGAGAGAGAGAGACAGATATAAAGATAGAGATAGGATAGAAGAAGCACTTTGCGTCTCATCTTCTATGTGTTCTCAGGAAACATTGCGAGGAAAATTCTTATGCCAGAAAGGCCCCCGGATAATACTCCCTTGAAAATCTATTTCTTTTCTCACCTAGTTGATTTTCTTAACGTAAAAATAATAACTTTTCAACGAAATCGCAATTATCGACGAATGATAAAGTATACAAAGTTACATTTTTTATCTTCTCTTTTCCGGTTTGTTCTCTCAAAAGTCATTTTTCCTTTGATATATATTTTCTTTTTTTTTTTTTTTTTTCGTATATAATTGACGATCGTAAATACGTAAATAAGGTTAATGAAAAAAGAAGAAAATTAGGTGGAATTAGTAAAACAAAAAAAGGGGGGAAAAAGGGAAAGATGATTTCCGTTTTATAGAAAAATAATTCGCGGTAATATGCGTTTCGTCAAAGGAAACCAATTGGATTGTCTTGTCGGTGTGGGTTCGTTGATCGTTTTGTATCGCAAAATGGGGAATCTGGTTCGTTTCGGGGTGCCGGAAGAGAAGACTTTTCGAAGTTTGATTAAACTTGAACCGCGCACGGGGACGGGGGGGGGGT